TTCTGTGTGGCGCTTTCTCTGTGACCGTATAACCCCGTGTGGTGCCTTCTCTGTGACTATATAACCCCGTGTGGTGCCTTCTCTGTGACCGTATAACCTCCTGTGTGGCGCTTTCTCTGTGACCGTATAACCTTCTGTGTGGCGCTTTCTCTGTGACCGTATAACCTTCTGTGTGGTGTCTTCTCTGTGACCGTATAACCTCCTGTGTGGCGCTTTCTCTGTGACCGTATAACCTCCTGTGTGGCGCTTTCTCTGATCTTTCAGATCAGAAGTAGCCTCTTCTATTTGCACGCCCCTGTGTCTTGTGTTTGCACACCTTTCTGAAGGAGGGAAACACTGTTAGCTGAGTCGCTCTCTGAATACACAGTCTCAGCAAGAGTTCTCTTAGAGAAATAAGGAGATGCCAGTCCAGCCAGCCAGATCAACAGAACCAATCCAGCTCCTCCCTGTGGAGCTGAAACTGTAGCCAGACTCCTCGCATACCCAGTTGCAAGAAACATTATTTATAGCCTCCTCCTAGTGTTTTACCCTCCCAGCAACATTTCCTGAACTGAACATTTAGTGGGTTCTTTCTCTGGAGTCAAAACTTTAATTTTTAAAATGCATTTAATAGTTCAGTTTTCAATATTGGCAAAGACAGGAACTGTCTCTTCTAGTCAAAAGATTCGGGGTGGGGTGTGTGCGTACTCATGTGCCTGCACAAATGTACATGTATATGGTGGCCGGAGGTCAATGTTGCGTGTCTTTCTCAATTGCGTTCCACCTTATTTTTTGAGGCAGTACCTCTTACTGAACCTGGAGCTAGACTGGCTAAGCCAGTAAACCCAAGATTCTTCCTCTCTATCTTACCACTGCCAGGATGCTGAAGGGCCTGGTTTATTACGTTGGCCCTGGGGACCTAAACTCAAGCTCTCACGCTTGCTTGGCAAACTCAGTTTACCAACTGAGCTATCTCCTCATTTCCCAAAGATGGATTTTTGAACATAAAGGTGGGGCTGGAGAGATGACTCAGCAGTTTAGAACCCTGGCTGCTTTTCTAGCAGACCCAAACTCAGTTCCTAGCATCCACATGGCTACTCACAACTGTAACTCCAGTTCTAGAGGATCTAACGCCCTCTTCTGGACTCTGCAGGTACTGTATGGAATGGTGCAAAGACACACAGGCAAAACACTCCCACACATAAAATGAAAAATAAATCTTTTTATTTTAATTGTGATTGTAATTCACAAAAACACAAAGCCTCATTATTTAGGATAAGAGTTAAAACTTTATTCCTTCTTAATACATTACAGATCTGCTACCATGTATCAGGAAAAAAAAAGGTATGGTTATCTCTTTCTCTTTTATATATAAACCCAATGTCGTGCAATTGAACAAGTCAGATCTCCCCTTATCACCCCCCACCACACCCAGCCTCATCACCTCCCTCTTCAAGCACCCTGATTCGAAAGACATGAAGATGGGAATGGAGCGGATAGAATGACTCACGGTGTCCACGTTACTGTAAATTGGTTTTAATGCTGTGCATGGTGGCGCAAGCTTGCATCCCAGCATATAGGAGGACTGCAGGCTTGAGGCTAGAGATCCCCATCTCACAAAACACAGCAGAAATAAACTGATAAACAAATATGGCTGGGGAGAACTTGTCTATCACAGGCAAGTTCCTGGACTCCATCCCCATCACCAAATACGTAAATAAATAAATAAGGGCGCCACTCACTAGCTCTCTCCATTCATTCTCGCACCAGCTGTGTGAGGAAGGTATGATTCTCTTTCCCATTTTCACAGGTGTGACACTGGGAAACGTGGCTCTTGAGAAGTTTGTGTCCATCCCCTGCTTGAATCCCCTGCCTTGTTAGTACCTTTGATAGCTGACTGACCCAAAGCTACATTTGGACTTCAGAACTTCTCCTGCGAGTGTACATATTCATTTGGATTGGGAAGTATATCCAACATAAAGATTGATTTTTTTTAAAAAAAATTAAAACAAAACTACCATTTGCTTTGAAATTCTCCTTATGGAAAATTTGGTAGGAGCTATGGCTCTAACTGGATGGCAGAGTTCTTGGCTAGCATACACAGGGCTGTGAGTTCAATCCCGAGTACCTCCGAAACAAATAATAACCCCAAACAAGCACGGAAAACCTTAGGGTGGAAATCTAGTGCCTATAAAGAGTGAAAAAAATGAATGATCTGAGTGGCAAGAACTGATTAAAATTATGTCCAAACTTGTGTCCTGTTGCTCAGACCACAGACCTGGCTATTAACCAGTCACCCACATGCGCAGAGTTATGGGAATAGGATTGCTTTTTGTAGGCTCACTTCATACAAACAACTGAGTGTAATGAGTCGATTAACAAAATACATGAGTTAAATGAGACAATGATGATTCACTCTTTATAAGATTTCCGGTGTGTTTCCTCTAAGTGAGAGTTCCCATAATGTACTTAAAGCATGACTCCACTTACAGAAATTCTGTCTCAACTCAACCCATCGAGAAAGCTTCCAACTCGAATTAAACTAGGTAGAAAATGATTTCAATTTAGACTAAATTGCAACTGGTTCTCCAAAGAGGTAGCAATGCCCTAGGCACAAAAGTAAAATTGCAGTCTATAAGAGGAGAGAAAATTAACACATTATAAATATGCAAACATCTAGAAACAAATAGACATAAAATACCTATTGAATACTAACCATTGCTTCTATGATATGGGTCTGGTTTGAGTGTGTTATCATGGCACATACCCTGGAACCTTGATCATCATGGATGAAACCTTTAAGAAATGGAATCATGGGTGGCAGAGACCTCACAAGTTCAAGTCTGTGTTCATTACTCTGCTGTCCCTGTGATAAAATACCATGACTATGGCAACATATATATATAAAAAAAAAAGAGTCCCCCGTGGTGAGGAGACAAGCATGGCAGTAGGAGCAAGCACAAACCAGAGAGGAAAGTGGAAGTTGGGTGAGGCAACAACCAAAATCCAGCCCTAGTGATTGACAGCTTGCTTCAGCAAGGCCCCGCCTCCCAAAGGATCCCCAAACAGCAACACCAACTGGGAACTAAGTGTTCACGTACCTGAACCTCTAGGAAACATTCTCATCCAAACCACTACAAAGTCCAGCCTAAGTTTGTTTACTTCAAATGCAGATTTTGTATTTTTATGCATGACTACTTCATTATGTTGGGTCACTGACAGGGTCCCAGTAAGAGGAATGTGATGTTGGCTCCTCCCACAGGTTGTGGTGGTATTCTTAATCATTTGATTATGAACCTGTTTGTTGAATTTCTGTATCATACTTTTCACTTTTTGCAATTAATATGCATCACACGGGCGGTTATTTTGGGACCGTGCACTGCACCTCGCCATGTGCTGGCCTTCTAGTTTTAGCATTTTTTTCAGTGGTTGTCTAAATCAATTGTTTTGTTGGATAAGACACATAGAATAAAAGTAATTTAAAAAAAAAAACATACATTTTGGGTGCCGGAGAGATGGCCTAGAGGCTAAGGGCACCTGCTGCTCTTCCAGAAGACCTGAGTTTGGGTCCCAGCGACCATATTGCTCAGCTCAAACTGCCTGTAACTCCAGCTCTGAGAGCTCTAACCCACTCTTCTGGCGTCTTTACATAGCCAAGTTCACATGTACATAAGTACATAGGTACAGAAATTTAAAACAAGTCGTTAAAGCATATAAGGCAGTGTTTTCTGTATTTTCACGAGGTTGTATATCCACTACTATTTAATTCCATTAAAGCGTATTTTAGATTTATTTCATGTGTATGAGTGTTTTGCTTCCATGTATCTCTGCACGGAGCTGCAAGGTGTGTGCCACAGGTCTTCTGCAAGAACAACAAGTGCTGGGGCTGGAGAGATGGCTCAGCGGTTAAGAGCACTGCCTGCTCTTCCAAAGGTCCTGAGTTCAGTTCCCAGCAACCACATGGTGGCTCACAACCATCTGTAATGAGATCTGGTGCCCTCTTCTGGCCTGTAGACAGAATACTGAGAATACTGTATATAATAAATAAATCTTTAAAAAAAAAAAAGAAAGAAAGAACAACAAGTGCTCTTAACCCCTGAGCCATGCTACCAGGCTCCTAATCTCATTTTAAAATTATATTTATTTGTTTGGGTGTGCGTCTGTTCTATCCTTTCCCCATGTGGGTCCTGGAGATCAAACTCAGATGGTCCCGTTTAGTAACGAGTGTCTTCACCCATTAAGTCACTTTCCTGGCCTCTAATTCCACTTTCTCATTACCTACAAAAAGAAACGATGTGCCTGCTAACTGTCCGTCGTCTTCCACGCTTCCCTTGTCCTCAGTTTCCAGCAACCACCAAGATGTTCTGTTTCAGTTGAGCAGGTGCAAGCCACCCATTGTGGATGCTGGGAACCAAACTCAGGTTCTCTAAAGAGCAGCAAGTGCTCCAACCTCTGGGACATCTCTCTGGTCCCTGATTCTATGGCTGTGCCTATATGAGACATCTCATCTAAAAGTAGTCATACAGTATGTGCCTCTGTTTTTATTTCACTAGTGTGCTTTCAGGGCTTGTCTACTGTCTTGTAGTTTTTACGTAGCGGTGGTTTATTCTTTTTTAATGCTGAAATTATTACAATGGCTCTTGGGAAATGCTGTTCTAAATACAAATTTCCATCTAAACTTAGGAAGATAGCATGGTTTTTCTCGTCCTTTGTCAAGTTGCTTTGAAATAAAAACTGGCCCAGTTTCTTTCAGTTTAACCAGGCGCGTTCTGCTACCCTCAGGTAGTTCCCAATAAGATAAGGGAACCTGACGACCTCCTTTCTCGGGGTTTACAGAATCTTTGACATTGCGAAGACCACCTTTCTTGAGGTGTAACAGCATCTTCCTTTCCCTGGGATGCACAGCAAGCGCTGGTCCCTTTCCTTCTGTCATCCCACAAGCTCCTCCCTCTCCTTCTGCCCACCCACCCCCGCCCCGAGGAGGCAGAAGGAGGAAGTGACGCACCGGAAGTGTCCTGGTCCCTTTACAGTGGAGGAAGGACTCAAACTCCCAAGATGGCGGCGGCGTCTGAGGAGCGGATGGCTGAGGAAGGAGGCGGTAGCCACGGCGACGGCGGCTCCTGTTCGGCCTCCGGCTCCGCTCAGCGACAGCCCCCGCCAACCCCGTCGCAGGCCCCGCAGCTGGGATCCCAGGCACCCGCGGCGCCCGCGCTGGCTCCGGACCATCTGCCTCAAAACAACACACTGGTGGCGCTGCCCATCGTAGCCATCGAGAACATACTCAGCTTTATGTCCTACGACGAAATTAGCCAGCTCCGCCTGGTGAGCCTCCCCGCCCCCCGCGGGACCCCCGCGACCCTCTGCCGGCGCGGGACCGGGAGCGCGCCCCCTCCTGCCGCCGGGCAGTGTTCCCGGTGCCGGCCGGCCGGCCGGCTGCTGCTGCTGCTGCACCGGCATCCTGAGTCCCGGGCGAGCGAGGCTCCGCGCCTTTGGGGGTCTCCTCGCCCCCAGCCCGGGACGCGCCCGCCGGCGAGAAGTAACGGAGTTGAGGCTTGGTCCCCGCCCCCCGGCGGAGCACGGATCCCCGAGGGGGCTGGCGGCCTGCCTCGACTTCCCTCCCGGTCCCCAGAGTCCGGCTTTTCGGGAGTACACTCCCCAAGTAGGCAGAGGATCCCAGCTAGGCTGGGCTGTGTTGCAAGACTAGTGTATTGTTCCTCCAGCCGCCCAAGCTTCCTGATTGAAAAGGATGCAGTAGGTTTGGTCTACCTCCCCCCGCGAACCCCCGTTGAGGTTCTAAAATTGCACCGTGTTTTCGTGGCTTTTAACCCGAGCCTCAGCTGACCGCTAAGTAAAGCCCTGGGAGATGACCCGTTCGGCTTTGCCTCCCTGTCACTTCCTATCCAGCCATCGTGGAGCAGCTTGCCCCTTGACAAGCTGTTACCCGCCTCCCCCTGGTCTTGCCATCATTTTTTAAACAAGTGCCTCAAGCCCACCCTCCCCACCCACCCCCGCCGTCGGAGTGGTTTATTTATACCCTAAAAATAACACGTTCTATCAGAGATTTAAAAAGAGGGGGGAAAAAAAGCCTTTGGAATTTTGCTACCTCGCAGAGGTTTGACCAAGGATTTGGTGAATTCCTTGGTTCAGGAAGGTCTCTCGCTTCCTTCCAGTGAATTTATCCTTTAAGTAGTCAGGAAATTGAAGGAGGTGGGCATTTTGAAGTGATTATGAGCTGGTTCTATGTAGTCACTAGATGTCTTCGGAATTGTTTATAAAAGGACAAAGACATCTTTCTGAATGTGCTGTGCGTAGCATTTTCTTAAATAATCTATATGCCATATTTTAGACATGTACTTTTTTAGACATGTACTTCAGCTCCAGATGGACGGTAATCGCATTTCGGAGGAAATCATCTTCAAACAGGCTGTAATCATTTATTCAAATGGTGGGCAGGCTGTGTGTGTGTGTGTGTGTGTGTGTGTGTGTGTGTTTTCCCCTGGTCCATACAGCAGTTTAACCATGCCAGTGTGTGTGTGTGTGTGTGTGTGTGTGTGTGTGTGTGTGTGTTTTCCCCTGGTCCATACAGCAGTTTAACCATGCCAGTGTGTGTGTGTGTGTGTGTGTGTGTGTGTTTTCCCCTGGTCCATACAGCAGTTTAACCATGCCAGTGTGTGTGTGTGTGTGTGTGTGTGTGTGTGTGTGTGTGTTTTCCCCTGGTCCATACAGCAGTTTAACCATGCCAGTGTGTGTGTGTGTGTGTTTTCCCCTGGTCCATACAGCAGTTTAACCGTGCCAGTCTCCAGCTCCAGAATGGGAAAATTTCTTCAGTTGGGAGTAGGTATTTCAGAATACAGTATCCTTGATTTTTCAAAACGTCATCCTAGAATTTCATGTGGAATCGTAAATATTACTTTATATTTTATAAAGACTGGCATCTGACACAATTTTTGCCTTATGTACATGGCGTTTGGGCATAGCATTTGACTGAACTGAGCCGGTCGGCCAGACAATGGCTTCGGGAACCTTGCGATGTCTGCAGTTGTTTTGTTAAATGTCAAGAAAAACTGGGTTTTATTTCTGTGTTAGTCGTTTTCCTCAGTTTTTTCTTTCTTCTTTCATTCATTTTTGTTTGTTTGTTGTGTGTCTGTTACTGTTTTTTCACTGTCCTGGAGTTCCACCTCAGCCTTGCACCTGCCAGACGAGCGCCCTATCAGTTACAACTCGTTTTTCTATCTTAAGCTTCTTTTCCTGGCCTAGTGTTAGAGATTTATCATTTAAGACGTTTTCATCGGGAGTCCCTCTGCTGCTCTTGTTCCCACTTCCCAGCCAGTTTATACTTGCACATACAGTTTTAGAAACAAGGAAGTCTCCTTCCTTTTTTACCTAATGTTCCTGGGTTTTTCTGTGACCTTAGATGGATCTTTGGTTTTTAGATTCATTGGTTTCAGAAAATACAATTCAAGTGACACAAAATACAAATGTTCTTTCTTCTCACTAGGTGTCAGCATTAATTTAATTATGATCTTTTAGTGAAATTGATAGAAAAGAAACAGTGCCTGGTTAGGCTCTTTGTATATATTGTTTCAATTTAAATGGTTATTTTTACCTAAATTGTTTGCCAAAAATTCAAGAGACTTAAGTGTGTGTGCTGACATCTGCTATATACATTACTCAAGTTCCTTCCATTGTGTTTTCTTGAGTAAGAAGCAAGGCTGGATAAGCTCAGAAAGAAGGGAGTGATATTAAGAACACAGTTAGCTTCCACAAAGCAAAATTGTGATCCATGGGCATCTATGCATCATTGAGATAGACCTCGCCTTCTAGGACGTCAGTCTTCCCTATTGTAGCACCTAACTTAAAGGGCAGGCACATAATCCAGGTACTCAGTATTCTGTATTTTCTATAAAAGGTCTCTGACCTGAAGTTGCTATAAGAATATATTTCAATTATTTTTCCAGGTTAGTTGGTGATAGTCTTTGCCTCCTGTCACCGTAAATAATTGAAATTTTTATTTTCCAATCTCCTGGTTTCTAAGGTTCTGTCTGAATACCTTATTAAAATGGCTTTCTTTCTACCACTAAGTTTTGCTCCCCAAACATATGCAGCCTGAAAAATTCTAGTTCCACAGAAATAGTCTTAAATATTTAATTCCTATAATGTATTAAAATGTATTTGGCTAAACACTACTTTTCAAATGGCAAAGTATGTACTTTGAGTTGGTCGCTTTCCCAGCAAGACAGGCAGATTGGTGCTGATGCAGCTTTGTGTCACCCAGACCCCTTAGTCAGTGCTTGAGAGACTTTGAGACAAGGAGCCATGGGGAAGAATTGAGCTTCTACCCTGAGGGAGCATATCCAAGTTAACTTTGAACATGTCCATGAGAAGATTTTCAAGACAGTAGATTCTGTCAATGGTTTTCCCTGTAATTCAAACAGTGCTCTTGAGAAGAGAGTGGAACTATTAGTATTTCAGAGCATAAATATGACTGCGTGTTAAAGAAATAAGAATTCTTATTGCCTGAAATTAGATATTTTCAGGTAGCAACTAAGTATATAAAGCCATGCTATGCCCCAAAAGACTTGTCTAGATCACCCTAGACAGTAGACTCTGCTGTTTATAGTTCCTTTCATGGTTGGTTGGTTTGTTTGTTTTTAACATATTAGAAAACTTTAGTTATGGATTAGGTTGGTAGGAAGAAATATGAAGAACAATACAGAGGCCTTTTTCTTTTGCTTAGAAATAGCAATTTTTCAATTGCTTTGCTTTGTTTCTCACTATATGCTAGAAGTTCTTGATTTTTTTGTCTTGGTATACCTTTGTACTCTTTTTTAAAGGTTATTGATGATCCCAAGAGCTTTCCTTAGAAAATCCCATAAAACACAAGAATACAAAGCACACATCCATTAGCTGTCAGAGTAACAATGCATCACTTACTGTGTTGCTCTGGGAACCTCAGCTGCATACCTGGGAGCGAGTGAGAGAGTCTCCTCTTTTCCATTATGAGAATGGTTTGCCCATGCAGACTCCTGAAAGGGAAACCCCAGGTCTCCCACCACCATTTACAGAGTACACGGTGTTGTGGGTTTTGTTTTTCTCCTAGCTCTCTGCAGCAGGTACTTGAGTACAGGTAAGGAATAATAATCTGTGAGCACAGTTCCTCCCTCTGCTCATTCTTCCTGACAACTCTCAAAGAAGTTCAACCATCAATCCTGTCACAGTGTCATTATGGAGACGTAATGGACGTACCCTTCCCTACACAGTTACGAAGGAAGCACCAGAATAATAAAGGCAGAAAGCATAAATAACAGAGTGTTGAAGTTAAGCAGGAAACTTCTTCAGGACCGTGGTTTTCTCCAGGTAGTACAAGTAGGACATTACCTGCAAGTAAACCCTAGAAAGTACTGAAGAACCTTAGAGGGTTGGATGAAAGGGGTTGGCACGAGCTTGAATCTGGAAGTATAAAGTTTTAAATGTGCTGTTGGGTAGTTTCCACCTATACTTGAACTTTATTCCACAGAACAATAAAGTGTAAGAAACTATTTTTGATATTCTCCAGAGTCAACACCCTTTGATGAGGGCAAATATCTAAGAACATTAACAGAATAGGGACTTGACATGGACTCAGTTACAACTTTTGCTTAGCAGTCAGAAGAATGGGAGTTCAGATGCCCAAACCAACTCGGCAGTGGTGGCGCACGCCTTTAATCCCAGAACTCAGGAGGTAGGGGCAGGCGGGTCTCTGTGAGTTTGAGGCCAGCCTAGTCTACAAGAGCTAGTTCCAGGACAGGCTCCAAAGTTATAGAGAAACCCTGTCTTGCAAAACCAAAAAAAGAAAAAAATCAAAAAAGATCCCCAAACCCATGCCAGGTGAGCATGACAGCCCACTTTTAATTCTAGCCTTTTTAGGGAGAGATCCCTGAAATAAGCTGCCACGAGGCTTGCTGGTATTGGGCAGCCCTGGATTTAAGAAACGGTGCTTCAAAAGAATAAAGGAAGAGAGGCTGTGGAAGTTTACCAACACTAACCTTACTTCTCAGTGTGCATGTGTACACAGGTGAACATGCATGCATACAGGAATAGAAGGGGAAACAGCTTCGATCATTTCATAGCAGAAGCCAGCCATATTTGTATTCCAAAGGTCCGTGGGTTAAAGACTTGGTCTCCAGCTTGGCACTGTCAGGAGCTGCCCAAGTTTTAAGTAGTACCTGCTAGAGTCTTGGATCACTGGAGCTGTATTCTCAAAGGGGGTAGGAGTCTTCGTGGAGAGGTGTCCATCTTCCAACTCTGTCAAGTCTTGTTTTCAACTCTTGTCAAGTCTCTGA